TTGTTTCCTCCAATTGTTTTGATATATCAGGGAATGAGGGCTCGTATTCAATGACTGTCTCCACCTTAATGTTGGACACATCGGCCAACACTTCGAACCTCTTCTGAACCCGTCGTCCGTTAATATCATTGCTGTGAATGAATACAACACAATTGAAGTTAAAGTGGTTCAGAATTTCCACCCAAACGTCCGCTTGATTTGAAAACGAGGCCACAGTTCGGCCATAAGTCGGGTAAATACTTTTGTCCGATAGTATGGCCTCGCGATTAGTAATACCAATTGTCGGTATGTTATGATAGGTTGTGGTGTATGTGATTGAGTCTGAGGGCGCCCTGTCCTCGACCACCACTCCAGAAATCTTTTTAACAAATTATTTAAAATTCTTTGAGTTAATGATAATTATTTAAATGTAAATTCTTATATGTAATGACAAATACCAGAGACGAGAATAATTTTTCGCAAACATTGAGTGTATTTTTAATAGGATTTGAATCTTTAATGACGGAAAAGCCGTGGAATGTAATGCCGGCGCTAACGACGTCTGTTTCCTCATTTAAATCTTCGATTGCCTGCAAAAAGTGTTTTTAAAAGTAATTAGAGCTCATTATTGCCACCAATTAATGCTCAAAATGCAAATGTTTTAAATAATTGAAAGATACAAATAATTATTGCAAATTGTATTAAATTCTTAATGGTTTCGATGCCTTACTTGCAAGAAGTAGTCTATATTATGAGATGATGTGAGAACTGCTCCGATATTATATATTTTTGAATTAGAAGATAAATCTAAACCCAATTTCTCGAAATACAAGTCATTTGGATCATTGGGTTCTTCATTGAATTTCTGATCCAAACAAACGTTTGCAACAAAACAAAGAATTGTGAATAAAATTATAAACATTTTAATCTAAATAAACATTCAATTCGTGTTGAAATTTATTTGTCAAACGTTTTCCTTTTAGAATTCATATAAAAATTGTTGATTAGTTTATTCGTTAATGAGATAACGTGTGAATTAATAAAATATTTATTAAATAAATAATTATAATTAATTTATAATAAATTAAATATTATGAAGAATTGTGTAAAAAGAAAAATAGAGAATATTTAGGACATAATAACAGATGAAATGCTATTTCTCTTGAGTTATGCTTCGCGTATATAAGCAGAGCATGACTTCAATGCATGTCTAAAACTTTCATTCAATACCACTTTTCTTCCCAGTATTTATTAAATACATAATATTATTTAAAATACAGACTATTTTTAGGCATTTGTTAAATATTTGCACTTATTTTCAGATTTGGTAAATTAATTAAATTCAATGCGAAATCAATTATTAATGTCACATAAAATGTGTGAAATTAAACTCATTTCAATTCCAATGAAATTCAAACTATTTATTAGTTTTAAATTAATTTTATTTTTGTATTAGTTAGAGATAACGATATAACTATTAAGCAACAAATCGTCAATTTTAAGCAACAAAAATATATTGCATTCATTAAATTTGATAGTAGTTTAGAAATATATAAAATATTTATTATACATGTATTTTGACATAACTTTGAGTGCTTTGGTTGAGTACTGGAAGTTAGAGGGCATTTGAAATGTAATGCAAATACATATGAATTATACAAATATGATGTAATAGTTATGTAATAATCATTTCAATTAAAGGCATTACCAACTCTATCGCACCCCTGGCTCTACATTACCACCACATTTATGGCTCAAATTTGGACCATATTTTAGAAATATTCAAATAAATTGTCAAATAATTTATATGACCATAGTAAACTATTTAGTTTTATAGGTACATGGACAATTGGATGTCATATTTCCAATATTGGCTATGGTAATTTAGAATTAAAATTGTATAATAAAATGACACAAATGGTTACATTCGTCAATCATATGAAAAATATTTGCAATAATTATGGTATAAAATGGGAGGAAATTGAAACATAAGTTGTATTAGTCTGTGGTTAACACCTAACTGTCCACATGTGCTAATCGTCATAAATTGTGTACAAATAGTGTATCGTTTGGTACTTATATACAGAGAGAATGTACTAATTGTTTGTCTTCCTATCAATCCTTATAAATAAGTTATAAATAGTTTTCATTCATTCAATATTCCTATAGATTTGGCCTCTCGTTAGGGAAGGACTCTGTGTTTGAGTCCAAAACTTTCTACACATAACGGCTTTCACTGTAATTGTGGGCAAAGATGTCTCAAAAGTGGTGTTGGTTTGCCTGAAGTGCCATTTCTTAGCCATTAATTGGCATAACTTTGTGTCTGAACTCAATGTCTGAAAACATATAATTGAGTCAATACAAGTGAAGTGAAGCCCAAAAGCCATTCAATAATACATTCACTTGTATTGTAAGCAAAAAACAAAGCGTTTAAAACTGTTTTTCTGATGCAATCATTGCTTTCCATTGCATTACTTTTGCACTGAAATTGCACTAAAACTTAAGCTTGAGATAGAGGTCCGCAGCGACACAACCACTGACCCGAACCAGACCTCAAACCCGACCCCCACTATAGGAAAGGCATTGTATGGCAACTAATTTATGCTTATTATTGACGTCAATACAAGATAGCATTGAAAATGAGTTTTTGATTAATTAATCATTTGTTTAATTCAATGCAAACTAAACCCAAAAACAGACTTCGCGTTACTTATCGAGTGATAAACGCATTCATAAAAACGTTATTTTGAAAGTTATTTCGCGAAATGCATTGAAATAAACGCAAACTCGCGTTAAGGGGAGCTAAAAGAGCGTCTTTGTAACGGAATTTACGAATGATTTATGAGGCGTTTCCACACCTTTTGTGACCAATGAATGAATAGAATGACATAATTGTTGGCCAATGAGTGGTCGTATTGCTCTGCGACTGCGCGCAAGTGTTGTGCGAATGCAGTGAATGTGTGTTTCGTCTGATTTGGTCTCCATTTTCTGTGAGAACGCAAAGCAAACGAGTCTTCAAAGTGTTATTATATCCGAAGTTATGGACTAATCGGTGGTCAACACAACCCGCGCACCAAATGGTGTCGCAAAACAAACTAAACATGAAAATGGCGTAAGTCTTCACACTATCACCACTATCTGATCCCATTATTACCCATCCATTCATTTGTCCATTGATTCACTCATTAATTGATTGTTTGATTGATTTATAGGTCTTTTACGGGAAATAATTCATTACTTTTAATATCAAACGATTTGATAAACAAAACAAACAATGATTGCAAACAAAGCAAATCACGTGTCACTGGAGATGGGGTTGGATTCGGTGGTTTGGCCGACCGACCAGTCATTCTTCGGGAGTGACGGTTCACTCAACTACACCTCCACTCAGTCTTATATAACACCACAATCACCACAATTAGCCGCAGAGGACGAGTGGCTCCAAAACTTTGAAGTCTTCACCGGTCTTTGCGATGGCATTGATTTGAGCCTCAATTATGAACCCCTCGGGGCGATGACCAAAGAGGCGGACAATCAGTGCCACAGCAAAGGCCATGAATACGTCGATTACTTGGATTCGACGGCTTTCCTCAGCCCGCAGTCGATGGAAGCCTTCTCTCCCAAGACATTGGATGAAAACCCTTTTGAATCTGATTTGGATTTTGCGGCCCAAGACTTGAACACCACATCCGCTATGACTATATTAGAAGAGATTCTGTCTTCTTCTTCGGCCAACTCTACCGACACTGAGGACTGTGTGGACGCTGAGCTCGACCTCCAGTCCGTGACTGAAGTATCCAAAGATTGTCAGACAATTGACACCACTTTGATTGAGATGAGCGAAGAGAAGCCCAAACGGAGGCAAACGAAACGTAAGGCCAAAGAAGTGTCGGAACCGAAACCAACGGCCAATAAAAGGAGTAGAAAATCGGTGAACGAGAAAAAGGATCGAAAGAGAGATCAGAATAAAAGCGCTGCCAATCGATACCGAATCAAGAAAAGAGCAGAACTCGAGTCCATCGATGACCTCCAGACCCGTTACTCCGAAACCAACGAAGCACTGATGGCTCAGTTGCAGAAACTGCAGATGGAGTTCAAAGTGGTGTTGCCCTTAGCGAAGGCCGCCTTCGCCGCCGATACTAATAAATCCCTTCAGTTACAAATGATGGACATCCGGGTCCTCAACAATAACCTTCTCGACTAAACATTTACTTGAATTTATTCTATTTATATTTTTGATCACTTTTTTGCTTTCAGTTAATTACTATTTTTCAACAATAATATAATTTTCTTAATTATATAATCATTAATTTAGTGGTGAATGTAGTGTTAGATTTGACTAATCCTGTAATCAATTTCATTGTATTTGATATCAAATAAAAATTCTTATTTCTATTCTATAATTGATATATTATTTTAGAAAAGCGTCAATTGCTTTGTCGTCAAGTAATAGGCGTTCAAATGCTGTTATTCTATAGTTTATTGTTTGGGTAAAACGAGTACAAAGTCTAACACATACTCGAGATGCAGACATTCACATGTAATCTGGTTATGAAATTCATAACAACTATTCATTATCACGGATTAGATTACAAATACAGAAGTGTTGATCTCATATATCTCCTATATTTGTCAGTTCAATGGTATTGTGTTATAGCAAATGGATATAATGATCCAATTCCGGTAATTTCTAATATATTATACAGTGTAGTGCACACAACCAATACTTCCTGTGAACCTCCTGCCCGACCAAATGCACCAATACTTCCCTTAACTGCAACACTATATTCCATGTGTTTATAACAGATAAACAAATATTTATACAAAAAGCAGATAACTGTTGACACATTTTTATCACAATCCAATTTTCAAATATGACATAAATTAACATAAATAAAATTTATTAATTATTTGTAAAATACAATTAGTTTATTAGAGAATTGCCTAAAAGATTGTATGTAAGCGATGCTATACAGCGCCGGCCAATTGAGCTGAGATGGAAGGGTTGTTCACTTTCTCTCCTAAGGCGACGAGGATTTCCTCGCGATAATCATCGAAATCGCCATCAATTTCATCGATTCCCTGGTTCTCAATCACCCAAAGCTGACACTCAGTCTCGCGAATGAGTCTCTCGTCGTGAGTGACGACAATCACTCCTCCGCCGAACTCATTGATAGCTTTGGCCAAAGCGTCGATGGACTCCAAGTCCAGGTTATTCGTCGGTTCGTCTAATATAAGAACGTGCGGACCCTTTAACGCCATTTCGCATAACGCGACCCGACTTTTCTGTCCGCCACTCAACTGCGAGTTGGCTATAGTGTGCGCGTGTGATATGAGACCGAATGAGCCCAACTGTTTGCGCGCGTCCTGATAGCTCAGGTTAAAGATTCGCATCAAGTATTGGGTGGGCGTCTCCTCAGTGGTCAAGTGTTCGCCTGAGTGCTGATCAAATTTGGCCACTCGTGCCCTATGGTTGAGTCGCATCTCTCCCTTAATCGGCTGTATTTCACCGCTCAATAGCTTCAGGAAAGTACTCTTTCCGACACCGTTTGGACCGACGATTGCGATACGACTCGACATATCTATACCGAAGTCAATGCCTTTGAATATAAGAGTCTTCGCATTGTAACCGAAGTCCACGTCATGAAGACCTAGAATTGGCGGCTGAAGGGGTGGCGCTTCAGTGAACGTGAATTTCACCACATATTCCTTATGTCGTTTAAGCAGATCCTGCACTTGAGTGTCGCCCTTGCGTCGACTCGCCTGCTCTTTCACCTGACTTTCCGCTGATTTGCCGGACTTCCCGCTCGCCTTCAGTGCTTTGATTTGCTTCTCCTGTTTCTCGTAGTCTTTCTTAAACTCTCTCTTCTTTTGTTCAAACATTTTCTTAAATTGTGTGTAATTTCCCTTATAATAGAAGAGCTTTTGTTGGTCTAAATGTATAATATCTGTGCAAACGTTATCCAGAAATGACTGGTCGTGTGAGACCACAATCAGTGTCTTCTTCCAGTTCTGGAGATAGTTGTCTAACCAAATGACNTTAAATTGTGTGTAATTTCCCTTATAATAGAAGAGCTTTTGTTGGTCTAAATGTATAATATCTGTGCAAACGTTATCCAGAAATGACTGGTCGTGTGAGACCACAATCAGTGTCTTCTTCCAGTTCTGGAGATAGTTGTCTAACCAAATGACAGCATTCAGGTCTAAATGATTGGTCGGTTCGTCGAGCAGAAGGAGCGTGGGCTCCATGAAGAGGGCGCGCGCGAGAGAGACCCTCATTCTCCAGCCGCCGCTAAAGTGATGAGTGGCCCTGTCCTGCATCTCACGTGTCGTGAATCCCAGACCCGCTAATATACGTCGGGCTCGCGATTCCGCGCTATCGGCGCCCATTGCGCTCAACTGAGTGTATATCTCATTAATTCGGTCACTGTTTTGGTCGCCCTCTTTGGCCAACAGTTGATCCAATTCTTCTTGGAGCGCAACTCTCGCCGTATCGCTTCTGAGCACAACATTCACAGCACTGGTCTCATCAGCCATTACTTCCTGTTCGCACAGCAATACATCCAATTCTTTTGGTAAATGAAGAGCTCTCTTGTCGGCGATATGTCTCATAAGAGTTGTCTTTCCGTAACCGTTGGGTCCAATCAGACCATAGCGTCGACCCATTGTTATAGAAAGCGAAGCGTTCACTAATAGCTCCTTTCCGGCGGCGCTTATCGTAAAACAGTCCACTTTTAGTGAATTGTCTATTATTTGTGCCGATTGTGTGATAGACGTCGAGACAGTGAAGTTAGTGTCCAGTTGTGGAATCAGTTCCGCTTCTTCTGCTTCTCTCTGTTTTAGTAGTTTTAGTTTCCGCTTCTCTTTATGCGTCAGTTTCTTCATTTTGCTGTCAATTACATCCATGTCTTCATTACTTTCCGTCACTTCAGTCGTCTCTTTCACCTCAGCTTTTGTTTCGGGTTTAGACTTCTCTTTAACATCTGATTCAGTCGTTTCTTCGATCTCCGGTTCGGACTCCTCTATGGATTCTGGTTTGACCTCCGGTTTGGCCTCTGGTTTGGCCTCTGGTTTGGCCTCTGGTTTGGCCTCTGGTTTGGTCTCTGGTTTAGCCTTTCCTTTGGCACCTGATTTTGCCTTCCCTTTAGTCTTAACCTTAGTCTTAGGTACAGTCACTTCTTCGGCCACTTCTGGAACCGCTTCCGTCGCTTCTTGAGGCTTATCATCAGTTTTATTGAAGTCTTCATTGTATTGATTCTTCAGAGCCTCGAGTTCTTCGTCGGACTCCAAGTCATCGTTTTTCTTGTTTTTCGTTTTGTATTTTTTGGGCAT